GTGGCCGCTGCCGGCCACCGCAGCCTCGACCTGCTGGGATCTGGCGATCCTTCCGCCTCACCTTTCCAAGTAGCTGGAACTACAGGCGCGTCCTACCACGCCTGGCTAAATTTTTGATTTATTGTAAAGATGAGGTCTCGCCGGGCTAGGTGGCTCAGCCTGTAATCCCGCGCCTTTGGGAGGCTGAGGTGAGTGGATGGCCTGAGCACGCGGGTTTGAGACCCGCCTGGGCAGTGAGACCTCATCTCTACAATAAGTCAAAAAATCAGCCGGGCGTGGTAGCGTATGCCTGTAGTTCCAGCTACTCGGAAGGCTGAGGCGGAAGGATCGCCGGAGCCCAGCAGGTCGAGGCTGCGGTGGCCGGGAGCGGCCACTGCACTCCAGTCTGGGCGACCAAGTGAGGCTCCAACTCAAAAACAACAACAACAACAACAACAAAACCAAACAAAAAAAATCAAAACAAAAAACGACCACAAAGGCCATCTAATCTTACATATCACCCACCTCTCAGAGGCCCTCTAGCTCTGCTCAGACAGACCCTAACAGGGGTTGCACCAGCTCTCAAGATGACCCACACCTCTATGGAACACAGTGGAGAAGCCCAGGGACAGATGCTTCTTCCAAGACTGTCTTTGCACCTTTTTACCGTGTGCTCCTCATGTTGCGAGAACTTATGGTAGGACATATAATTAGCAAGTTCTTTCATCGGGCCAAACTCTGCCTTCCTATTGTGTCTGCTTATTGTCCTATACCTCTGAAAACCACAGAATAAATTTTACCTGTTAACCAGTTGAAAACAGCCACAGAGCTCCATTTCATCTCCTTTCCAGAGGCAGACACAACAGAACTGTCACAAGGGTCTAAGATACCAGCATGTCAGGATAGGAAAGATAACACTAACTCGAACTCAAGATGATGGTGGAAGGTAACAGAAACAGAATTAAGAAAAATGTCAAAAAAAGAAAAGAAAGAAAGAAAAAGAAAAATGTCAAATCCCACACCAAGTGTTTCCAATAGATGGCATCTGTTATGTAAGTTCTTTGGTGCCCTGGTAGAAATCACTACGACTGTGGATGGAGCTATGATGAAAGTCTTACCCACAGAGGTATTCAGAAAATGCCACTTATGAAAGTTTTAAATGTAGCATATACAAATACAGGAATACTGACTCCACTGTGTTTTGCAAACTATAGGAAAAGCAGTTTCAAACATCTTATCAAAGTTTGAGCTTGGGGTTTGCTATAAACCTCTAGGTCTTGTGATATATGTGCATCAAAGCACCAATCGCTAATCCTCGCTTCTTAGATCACACCAAATAATGCTTCCATCCAGACATGTATGTTTCTGCCAGGCCATCTGGAAACCCGAAGGAAAAGACTACGGGGCAGAAGCGTGGGCATGTCTGTTCCTTCCATTGCTCGTCTCCCAGCACCAGAAGCTGCAACAGATTCCTTCACAAAACTGCCCAATCACACAGTTGCTCAATCACAGCAGGACTACAAGTCTCACTCAAAGGAGCAGTGAGCACTCTAACAACTCAGCCCCCACGATGTACAGCTGTCTACCTGGCTCTCATCTACACAGCCCCTTTTCTGAGAGCAGCAGTCACCTTATTTCAGACAATAACTCCTAACCCGATTTCTGCTATGTGGCACTGGGAAGGGTGCCACTCAAGGGACTCTACAGACCCCCAACCAAGACAGACTCCTGCCCAGGGCTTTTCAAACTGGAGTCATGGTTGAGACCAGGAAGTGGAAGGAGGTGCAGGATAAGAAAAGCACTCTCTCTGTTCGAGAGAAGACTGCTGATGTGGTCCCCCGTGCACTCCCCACGGCAGGAGAGAATGAGACAGAGGGGAGACTGACTGAGTCCCAGAGGCCTCAGAACTGCCTGGTCTCTACCTGCCAAGTGCTGCTCAAACTCCTCAACCCGGTAAGCCACTTCCGGGATCCCTCCTGAGAATCTCTTTTTAGGTTAACACTAAAGGTGGGTTTCTGTCACTGGCAAAAACAAGAGTCCGACAGCCAATACAAGAGTCAGCCTGGAGGAAATGTTTTAAAAGAGGCCGGTCTACTATTTGACTATTTTTCACTTGGTTCAGTCAACATTTACTAAGCACCAATCAAGTGCCAGACATGGTTCCAGCGCTAGAAAAGACAAAAATAAAAACAGATAGTCTCTGATCTAAAAACATTCAGTTTGCAATAATCAGAGCTTTAGAGAATATCACTGAGAACATTCATTCCACCAGAAGTAATCTTACAAGCCGTTAGTTCTAACATCTAAGAACAAAAGTTAAAATGGCCCGAGTCAAGTCAAAACTAGATTGTCAAGATGACCAGGTTTTCAGCTTCTTTTAAATGACAAGGCCACAATACGACAGGAAAAAAGAGGGAACAGGAAGAACGACGAGACAAAAGCCAAAATATATTACAGCCTCAACAGAAGTACGAATAAGACAGTCACGGCCATTTTAGAACGCAGATACAGTCACTGCTTATGGTATGACAAATACTCAGAGTGAGAAATAAAAACTATCTAAAAAGTCAGCCTCCAAAGTCTCAACCTGAAAACGCCAGGAGGTAGAGACAATAGAAACCTGTTACCCAACTGGGTTTCCCAAGCCACGGCCTAGGATGGACCCTGGAAGAACTGGATCTTCATTCATGGGGGAACCTGTCAAATCACAATTCAAAATGTCAAGCAAATAGCCACTGCCATTTCTTTTTTTTTTGAGTTGGAGTCTCTCTCTGTCGCCCAGACTGGAGTGCAGTGGCCGCTCCCGGCCACCGCAGCCTCGACCTGCTGGACTCCGGCGATCCTTCTGCCTCAGCCTTCCAAGTAGCTGGAACTACAGGCGCGCGCTACCACATCCGGCTAGTTTTTTTTGACTTACTGTAGCAATGAGGTCTTGCCAAGTTGCCCAGGCAGGTCTCGAACCCGCGGGCTCAGGCAATCCACTCACTTCGGTCTCCCAAAGCACGGGATTACAGGCTGAGCCACCGAGCCCGGCTGCCACTGCCATTTCTACTGGACATTAATGGCAGCCAAACAAAGACGTCTTCTGTCTCACAACTAAGTCCAGAAGACCCACAAACATGTACTCTAAAGTTCCCCTGAAGTCCCCCCAAAAACTCAAAGCTAAAGTCACAGGGTCAGCAACAGTAATGAAGGCAACGTTTACTTCTGATGCCGACTGGCTACATCTGACAGCACGGATAGCAGCAGTTTATAGACCACTTGTGAGAATGTCTGGGATGAATGGGTCTTTTCACTGTTCCCTCACTCAAGCCTCTTTTGTGGAGAGATGCAGGTAGCAACAAAGGAGAGATTTATCACCATGAGCCCGTTCAGCAGCTGTTTTCTTGTCGTTCCTTGTTTAACTTCTCTCAGGAGAATGGAGTTATCTGCCCAGCTAAGCAGGTGTTTAAGGCAGGTGATTTTGTTTCCATTAATTTTCTTAAGTAACAGACCAGACTAGAGGGTTATCTCATGAACTCATGGGGAAACCTTGCCCTGTGCTTGTTAAATCACAAGGTGTGTGTTTGGTAGGAATGTTAGATTCTGCTCCTTGTTAGAATCTGATGCTTCCGGCATCTTTACATCTCTAATTCTAATAGTAAGACTAATTTAGGAGCCACAGTTCATTCCTTGCCCTTGACACCTGAATTTTGTCTTATTTAGCAACATGTTAGAGGCAAAGTGAGGTTGAAAGCATTCAAGTCCTCAGGAAAAACCCAAATTAAGAAAAGCCTGATGGCCAGACTTGGTGGCTCATGCCTATAATCCCAGCACTTTGGGAGGCGGAGATGAGTGGACTGCCTGAGCCTGCGGGTTCAAGACCAGCCCAGGCAACTTGGCAAGACCTCGTCTCTACAATAAATAAAAAAATCAGCCGGGCGTGGTAGCATGCACCTGTAGTTCCAGCTACTTGGAAGGCTGAGGCGGAAGGGTCACCGGAACCCAGCAGGTCAACACTGGGGTGGCCATGAGTGTGCCACTGCACTCCACGGGCGACAGAGTGACTTTGACTCAAAAAAAAAAAAAAAAAAAAAGAAAAAAAAGTCTTGACACTCTACTTCAAAGCCCAGCTACAGCAATTGTTACATTAACAGCTGTATTCATAGTTTCATGTTCCAAGCTACTGCAAGGAACATGAAAAAAACTTTTTTTTTTAAATTTGAAGCTCAATGTCCCCTAAACCTATAAATCTATACCTCCAATAGTGGTGTTTTCAATGAGATGGCCATAGCACATGCATCTTGCACTACGATTGTGTCATTAGCTGCAACAGGGAACTTTCCCACCCCGCCATCCATCCACAGTTATAGAGAGCCACTAGTCACTTGGGAGCAGAAAACAACCTATTTCTCCATACCTGAAACTTGTAGGCCACCCCAGCCCTTTGATTACCTTCAATTTTCTCCCACTGTAGAGCCATCTCCATAAGGAGCAAACATTCGGTGACACATTTCTTTCTCTTTATCCACGTAGTCCCTGTAATAGCTGCAGAGAGAAACACACACTAGTTAGAAGAGGCCTTTGTTTGTAGGAGGTGACATCTGGTGGCTGGAATTCACCACTCATGTCCAGAAACACTGCACATTCATCCATTACGTTTTAAACTGAGTCAGGAGAGGACAGAAGCAATGCTGGAGAGGTAGGGGAGACAAGGAAAGCTCCCAAGACCTGTTCAGGAAGGTCCTGGGCAGAAAAGCCCTAAGAATGGCAGCCTTGAAGGGTGGGAGCCTCTGGCAAAGAAGCGCCAGGCTGGGGCTCACCAAGTGACGCCTCAAACTCAGCAGCCTCTAAGTTATCTTGAGATATTCTTGCTAAATAATGGTCCCAAAAAATTAGACCTATTTCTAAAAAGTATGTGCAAAGAAAAAAGAATGATCAGATCCCAAAATGTCTACATCTAACTAGACAGAATACTTATAAATATCAGAAAGGAAATTGCTGGAAAGTCCTAAAAAGGTCTAAAACATAACTATTAGATCCAAATATAAGAGATGCTCACATCTCAGACTTCTAATGTCAAGAAAACTTTAATTAACAATCTGGCTTGAATATTTAATATATATATATATATCTTTTGTTGGAGTCTCACTCTGTCGGCCACACTGGAGCGCAGTGGCCGCTCCCGGCCACCGCAGCCTCGGACTGCTGAGCTCCGGCGATCCTTCCACCTCAGCCTTCCAAGTAGCTGGAATTATAGGCATGCGCTACCACGCCTGGCTGATTTTTTGATTTATTGTAGAGATGAG